GCGATGCGGCAGCCAAGAAGCAGGTGACCCACCGCCCCCGCTGGTGCCACTTGCGGCCCACTGGTCCGTGAACACCCCTGCCTACTACCCTCGGTGATCCTCCCACTTGTCATTAATCTCCGGTCCCTAACCACCCCTCAACGGTCCCCACGCTGAGTGGGCAGGCAGACCCCCCTTTGGCCCAGAGCCTCCCCAGCAGACGAGGGGCAGGAGGAAGTGATGTGCATACGTACAAGTACAGCTGCGTGCCTCTGCGCACACCTACACGCATCTGCACACATCTAAAGACACCTGCGCACCCCTGCACACGCCTGACACGCCTGCGTACACCTGCACGTCTCCGTCACCAGCACACGCCCTCCCGTACTCGCACCCGTCTGCGCACGCCTGTGTGCACGTTGCTCACACCCGCGTGCCTGTGCGTGCAGGCCCGCAGCCTTCAGGCCGTGCCCAGGCTGGTGAAGCTCTTCAACCACGCCAACCAGGAGGTGCAACGCCACGCCACGGGCGCCATGCGCAACCTCATCTACGACAACGCGGACAACAAGCTGGCCCTGGTGGAGGAGAATGGCATCTTCGAGCTGCTGCGCACGCTGCGTGAGCATGACGACGAGCTGCGCAAGAACGTCACAGGTGCCCTGCCAGCCCACGCCAGCCCTCTCCTTCCCTCCCTCCGTTCTCTGTTCCTCTGTCCCCGCCACTTCCATTGGTCCCGACTGTTCTTGTGCCATAGGTCTGCAGCTAGCCCCCAGCCCCCAGGCCCCGTGTCCCCAAGCGTGGTCTCTCGGCTGTGTCACAGCCCCGTGACCCGTAGGTTGTATGCAGGCTCTCTCCATGGGGCTCTCGAGCGAGGCTCCAAACGCCAGGAGGGGCCCTGGGAGAGGTTGGGAGCCTCGTCCCCACCCTCCCTGGAGGGCCTGGAGGGGACTAGTGGGCGACTACTGACCATGGCCACGGCCCCGCCTGCCCCAGGGATCCTGTGGAACCTGTCCTCCAGCGACCATCTGAAGGATCGCCTGGCCAGGGACACACTGGAACAGCTCACAGACCTGGTGCTGAGCCCCCTCTCGGGGGCCGGAGGACCACCCCTCATCCAGCAGAATGCCTCTGAGGCTGAAATCTTCTACAATGCCACGGGCTTCCTCAGGTGCGCCGGGGCGGGGGGCAGCAGAGAGAGGCTAAGACGGTGGCCGTGGGGAAAGAACTGGGTGCCTGGAAGGGGGCAGGGGAGGCCTGGAGAAGGGGCACTTGAGTCCCAGGTCTGAATGGCAGGGTGGGGCTGGCCAGGGCGGCAGGCAGAAGCAGCCCGGCCACGCAAGGTACGGGTGCTGGCACAGAAGTGAGACAGGCAGCTGGTCCCAGGCAGAGCGACGATATGTCAGGGGGCAGCAGGCCCTGGGGTCCGCAGGCTCCCCTCCACTCTGGACACTTGGCGGGGGGTGGGGGAGGACGGGCATGCAGAGGGGCTGCAGGTGCCAGGGGGCGGGGCCCAGCTCAGGGCAAGGAGGTGACTGGGGCTCAAGGGCTCGGCCCTTGGGACTGGTTCCCACTGGGGGTGCTCCCCGGTCTGCCTCCGTCCGCAGGAACCTCAGCTCAGCTTCCCAGGCCACTCGCCAGAAGATGCGTGAGTGCCACGGGCTGGTGGACGCCCTGGTCACCTACATCAACCACGCCCTGGACGTGGGCAAGTGTGAGGACAAGGTGAGGGGCGGCCACTGCCGAAAGGTCCTGGGGGGTTCTGGCCCACGCTGACCACGGTCCGCCCTCTGCAGAGTGTGGAGAACGCCGTGTGCGTGCTGAGGAACCTGTCCTACCGCCTGTACGATGAGATGCCGCCCTCCGCCCTGCAGCGGCTCGAGGGCCGGGGCCGCAGGGACACGGCCGGGGCGCCACCCGGCGAGGTGGTGGGCTGCTTCACGCCTCAGAGCCGGCGGCTTCGAGAGGTGGGCGCGGGCCTGGGCAGCTGGGAGCAGGGCCCCCCGGCCCGAACCCAGCTGACCCTCCACACCTCCCACCCAGCTGCCCCTCACGGCTGATGCACTGACCTTCGCCGAGGTGTCTAAGGACCCCAAGGGTCTTGAGTGGCTGTGGAGCCCCCAGATCGTGGGGCTGTACAACCGGCTGCTGCAGCGCTGTGAACTCAACCCACACACGACCGAGGCAGCCGCGGGAGCACTGCAGAACATCACCGCGGGCGACCGCAGGGTGAGGACCCACGTGTGGCCTTGCACTGGGGACACGAAGGGTGAATGAGGAGGGTGCAGGAGCTTTCCAATTTAGTCTGTTGGAGCGGGATGAACACAGCCAGGTGGATGAGCCAAAACCCAAGACGGAGGGGACAGGACGCTGCCAGGGGTGCGAGAGGCA